ATATATATTTAAAATATTAATTTAGGGTTTTTTTTAGCATTGCTGCCAAACACTAGTCACCGTGACATCTAGCAGAGTGAAGCTTACCATTGAGCTGTAAGGCAGAGGCAAGACTTACGGGAAGTATTGGCCTTGTTTTGGCGCGTGGGGATGACTTGCACCCCAATTCTTCTGCAGATGTTGTGCCAGTATTGTACTTGGTCACAGATGAAGTCCATCGGTGGTTTGGATAGGAGGCTGCCAACCTGGGCAAGCACAGTGATTCCTCACCTAGATGGAAAGGAGGATTAGGTCTTCTTGGAGATAATCCCCCAACAGCTAGTGGAGGCACAAAGGGCACAGCAGACTCCTTGTCGGAGTCCTCCCCGCCAAGAAGATCTCTCGGGGGAGCTCTTTGCTAGGACATCCAGTGCTTTGCTACTTCACGTCTATCTGAAGGGCTCAAAGGCTTGTTTTGCATTTTCAGTTGCGTCTTGTTCCTATCCGTTGCTTGAATCCTGCCTTGGTTCATCCAGCAGTGCTGATCTTATTTTATATAGCTGTTGCAGCTGTCGGTCAGGACTGACAGGCAAAGACATGCTGCCGATCGGCGCAGTGACACTCGAAATAGGAAACTCGAGCTGCGTGCTGAGAGCTGACGGATGGCAGGGCACGAGGAGTGACGTGCGAACAGAGGTAGAGCGGGACGCAGCAAACACTACTTAGCACCAGAGATGGTCACACTTTGACACTACACTTCTCTCGTTGCTGTTAAAAGTTGGGGGCCTTTCCAACAACATTTGTGGGGGGAGAAATTGCAAATGCTAACAACGTGTTCTCTTTTGACAGTGTTTTCTGCAGCATTATTTTATGATATTTGAATCAGATTTATTGAAATTTGCACTCGTGGTTTTTTTTAAATAGGTAGTAAGGGTTTTTTTTTTTCCATTCTTCATTTTCTTCCTTGGTATTTTTGGGTGGTAAATGAAACAATTTGTAATGACTCGGATAACTTTTTATATGCGTTTCTGTAGGATCGCCACAAAGGAAGAATGGGAAATAACCCCTTGTTTGACCCCGTGACATTTCACACAACACCTTTTCTTCGGTTTTGAAAGACTTGACTTCTGGAGGCCCCCATCTTCCTAGGGCAGTGATTCTCAACCAGGGTTTCGTGGTACACTGGGGTGCCTTGAGGTCCATTAAAGGGTGCTGCAGGGTACCGCAAGTTTTTAGGTGTGCACAAGATCAACCCAAGGTTTCACATAGAAGTTCACAGCATTAAAACCCTTGTGGTCTTTCTGGGGTCTTTGCAATAGAAGAATTACGGTACTCTAGTATTTTTCTGTAGTCCAAAAATCAGTAAAAACACGAAGCAGTGGCATTTTCCAAGGGGTGCCTCGAGTCCAATGAGGGGTGCCCCAAGTCTAAAAAAAGGTTGAGAACTGCTGTCCTAGGTGATTCAATCCAAATGATATGGCTGTCTTGAGAAAAACAGTATTACTTCTTTTGGGAACAGTGTTGTCTCCAGTCTTCCAACCAGCCAGTGAGCGTTTGGGAAGATGATGAGCATGGCAGTTGCTATGTCCTTTATATTAAGGGGTTGAAGGTGCATGTAGATTATTGCAGCTGCTATCAGGAAACACTAACTGACCCTCAGAGCCTGGCTTCATCCCTTCGAGCTTGGGAAAGGCATTACTCCAAATACATTTCCAGAGATATCTCTATTCTTCCTTTACATTTCAGTTCAAAGATGCAACGATTGATGTGTCTATCCAGGCCCTTAGTTTTGCATTGACGAACCATCAAGATAGCACCGCACCCCTTCCTTAGCCATTTGTGAAACCATCAAATCTGTTTGGTGCCTCTCCATGCAATGGAAATGTGTATCCTAATCAAGGGCTCTTGGTGGACTTTTAACATAGAAGCTCTCAGATGTAACACTGACGTTCTCGGCTTTTTACAAGGAAAAACACTAATGAAAACTTTGCAATGGTTGGTTTAGGAATAGACCCACCCGCACGTCCACATTGCACAGTTTGGAGACGATGACTGATTTGACGTACAGTAAAGTAATTGGTGCTGTTCCTATTACACATGCCCTTTCTTCATTCCTACTCTCCATTGCTTTGGCATTATAAATAAGATACCCCCTCTGATTCTGTAGCTGAGTTAATAGGAGCAACTTTAAATGGTCTTTTTTTTCTTTATTTTTTTGGGTTTTATGTGACTCTTCCCAATTATTTTGACATCTCAAGAAAAGGGGCCGAGAATGGTGACCTTTCCAGTAGTTAGAGTCCATGTTTGCAGCTCCGTCTCCGTCTCCCTCGCTCGCCTCAGGTCAGTCGCACGGCCTTTTGCTCCCTCTGTCTGAGCGTGTCCACGTGTGTAACGAGAGTACCTGCCGCTCAGACGTGGTGTGAGACTCAGCCAATACTTATAAGGTTGCTTCAGCTCCTGAATCAAAGCAGCCCTGTGCATTCATAGCATCAGAGGCAGGGGATCCACATGCCTGCCCTAGGAATCTCAAAAGGAAATGATTATACTCATTGCTTTTTAAATGATACTGAAATTGTACCTTAAATCTTCCTTAAAATTTACCTTAAAAATCAGTCAACGTGAACCACAGAGGCTTAGGAAAGCAGGGACTTA